TCACCGCACGACGAAGTACGGTATTCCATCCCAGCGCACAAGCACAGGCCTGTAGCGTTCCACAGCGGTTCCTATCACCTGCGGGCCTCTCCAGCTCCCCTAGACTCTCGCAACAACCGCACCTATGAAGTCCAACGCGTTGCTCGTGCTGGCTGTGTGCCTCTTCGCAGCCTTTGCGGCTGCCTGGACAAAAGAGGGTACGTACTACTCGCATCATTGGACCGCAGTCGTAGCCATTTCCGGACGCTATTCATTACACCTTGTGGCCATGCACACTTCCCGGGCATGCAGTGGACTAAAGATGCAACCCTGCTGACATTGAGCGACAGACCATGAGATCTTCCGCGTCCGCGACGAGGTTGCTCTCGCCGAGGGCACCAATGTCACTTTTTACGACCTCCTCGGCGTCAAGCCCAGCGCATCGCAAGACGAATTGAACAAGGCCTACCGCAAGAAGTCTGCACGACTCCACCCCGACAAGGCCCGCCAGATCTTCATCAACGAGTACCAGAAGAACAACAAGAAAAAGGGCAAAGCGCCTGGCGTCAAGGTCGCCAAGGGCCCCTCCAAGAAGGAAATCGATGCGCACATGAAGAAAGCCACGGCCAGCTACCAACGCCTGTCTGTCATTGCCAACCTGCTCAAGGGCCCCGAGCGCGAGCGATATGACCACTTCTTGAGGAATGGCTTCCCGACATGGCGAGGCAGTGGCTACTACTACCAGCGATTCCGCCCCGGTCTTGGCTCAGTGCTGATTGGCGTCTTCATTGTCTTCGGCGGGTTCATGCATTGGTTCGCTCTTCACATGGCCTGGAAGCGCCGTAAGGAGTTTGTTCAGCGCTACATCCGGCACGCACGCAAGACCGCCTGGGGCGATGAGTCCGCTATCCAGGGCATCCCCGGTGTGGACCCGGTCAACACACAGCAGTGGGACGACAAGAAGGAAGACAAGGACTCGTCGGATGAATTCGTCCCCAGGAACCGTCGCGAGAAGCGCGCCATGGACAAGGAGAACAAGAAGGGCAAGAAGGTGCAGGCTGCTAGGACCGCACGTACCGCTGGCATCAGCACGCCCGTCGAGGCCGAGATCACTTCTGGGCCCCAAGGTGCAAAGAAGCGCATCGTTGCTGAGAACGGCAAGGTGCTCATTGTGGACTCTGTTGGCAACGTCTTCCTCGAAGAAGAGACCGAGGATGGTATGAAGGGCGAATTCCTCCTTGATGTAAGTGCTATCCAGCTTCTCCACAAAACCTAAACTAATGGCCGCCCAGCCCGATGAGGAACACGCTCCCACCCTCTTCGACACGATGCTCTTCAAGCTCCCCAAATACGTTTACAACCAGTCCGTTGGACGTGTCCTTGGCAAGAAGGAGCTCATCGAGGAGCCATTGATCGACTCGTCTGACCTTCCCGAGGATGAGGCTGCTATCCAGAGCGCCACCGCACCCAATCTCAATGGCGAGGCGAAGAAGCGCAGGGCTAAGGCGAGGAACGCTAGGTAGTCTTTCTGCACGGTTACAAGCATATTCGCGTTCAGCGGGATTGGCATCGTTTAGGATGGGTAGAACAAAAAGTATTGCATCTCGGCGTTGGTGTAAGATACGAAATAGGATAGAATGAGCGCAAGAAATTCTTAAAGTCATAAATGGAATCTCGCATCGCGTATCATTGTGAATTCTGTACATGGATAGGTGGTCAATTGAACAGGGTTGTTGCTCACATAAGGCAAGATGAGGGCGACGCAAAATCTGCATATAGACATGTGAAAATATGGCATTGTTGTGTTCTAGCAGCTACTGTGCCTGACCATGATCCCAACGCACATCATCCCATCAAGTCCTCCGTCGAGTTCTTTTTTCTTGTTTCGTATCGCTCGTGAGCCGTGGAGTCGGTCGATGTCATCACCCGTCCTGGTCTCTAGTTGATCTTCTTGAGCTCAACCTCGCTATACACACACACAAGTCAGCTTCTCTCCCAATATACGCAACTAGCCATGAATGCAACGTACAAGATGAGGTCCGAGTTCGGGGGAATCAAGCCGGGGAACTCCTGGCTGCCGTACGCGAAGTCGCTGGTGATGTCGAGACGAGCCTTCTCGCCGAGCTTCATGGTGACGACGCCCTCGTCCCAGCCTATTGTACGTTATTAGATCCTGCTCTCCAGCGGGCGAGGGAAGCTTGGGAGCTGGGACATACCCTTGATAACGCGGCCAACACCAATGGGTGTCCTGAACGGTCCACGGCCGGTGGTCGAATCGAACTGCTTGCCCTTCTCCTCGGGCTGGCCATTCGTCTTGAGCCATCCAGTGTACCTGTTCATCTGCGTTAGCAGCTAGCCACCACGCAAGGCCAGCTAAATACATACTCCATAGTAACCTGGTCGCCCTTCTTGGGGCTTGGGCCCTCGCCCTCTGAGATGACAGTCTTCTGAACACCCATGTTTGCAGCAGTCGACGATAAGCTCCGGATAGCAATTGGTGCAATGTTTCGGAATGGGCGTGAGAAGTTGACGGCTGCGGGGAGCATCGGATGGGTTTTTAGTTAAGTAGTAGGGCGGCGGCGGTGGAGGGGGCGCACAGCTTGGTACGGTAAGCAAGCTCTGGCCGCTGCGATGGGTATGGTGGGGTAGCTTTGCCGCACAGCACGCTGCGTTTGCAGGGAAGATCGTCGGACTCAGCCACGATGGTGTATGCAAGGGCAGGAAGGGTTAGTGGGCACGCCCAATGATTTGCGCACGGGTTGCTGCTTGGGGAGAGAGGTATGGGGTTGGGGTCCACTGTGGTGGATGGCGTGATTTGGGATGTGAGCTGGCTGTTTGGAGGACGAGGATGATGCTGTGGGAATGCATCGAGGCGTTTGTGGGTGAAGGAATTACAGCTATTCATGAGTCTTGAAGCAATATTTTGCAAGATTGCAAATGCATTTGTTCTGTGAGCTCTACAACTCTGCTTGAGATCATCCTGTCAGCTTTGACGAGACTTCGTATTGATGCCTGAGCCGGGCAATCATGTCCGAACACTCCATGTAGTGTTGCTAACATTCCTTGCAATGAAGTTATCTATTGTTTCCATGGTAACTTGCTAGCTTTACCTCTAAGTTACATGTTTTGCGTCATGCAAAGTATGGTCCAACGACGCAAGCAAAGATGCTGGGAGTAACACAGAAATACCAAGTATGAGGAGCGCGCTCTCGAAGCCAAACGTGAAATTCGGCAAGTCAATAAGGTAACATGCTGGAGCCTCTATTCTAGATCGTTCAGAGCAAACTGAATAATTATGTAAATGTTTTGTATCATCAAAGCAATAAAGTGGTTCGCGTCGAGGGGTAATAGCGGGGTCACGAACAGTAACACAGCTCATGCATGCTCTCAATACACCCAGCTACAGTAGCTATTCAATTTATGTCTCGAAGAAATCTCCACGGCGTAGACGTCTCGAGCAAAATGTACAAGCATTGTATTGCCATCATTCATGGTTGACCCACAGCCGTTCCTCAAAGCTGCATAATGTGACATCACGACTGCCACGCCCTACGCGCTGTTTGCGGCTTGAGATATTCTAGGGGCAGGAACGAGTACAACTTCATTTCTGGTATGCTCAACTCTTCTCGAATTTCCTGCTCACTTCACTCGGTTCATCATTCTTCGAAACCTCGAGCACCGCTCACGTTCCTCCCTAGATACTCGACCCAAGCTTCTCCTCTACCCACGATGTCGTCCAAGCTCAGCATAAAATCCACCTTCCCCATCTCGAACTCGAAGTACCAGATCCCTCAAATCGGTTTCGGCGTATACCTCTCGCCCCTCGACAAATGTGTCAACTCATGCCTCAAGGCATTCGAGGCTGGATACCGTCACGTCGACACAGCGCAATACTACGAGAACGAAGAAGCCGTCGGCCGCGCTCTCAAGGAAAGCAAGCTTCCCCGTGAGGACGTATACCTCACCACGAAGATTCTCTTCGCCGGCGACGATGCCGAGTCAACGTACAAGAAAGTGGTAGACAGTGTAGACACAATGGTTGGAAGCGGTGGGTATGTCGATCTGTTCTTGATACACTCCCCGAACTTTGGGCCAGAGAAGAGGAAGTTGATGTGGCAAGCTCTGGAGCGAGCGAAGGAGGAAGGCAGGATAAGAGATATTGGAGTCAGCAACTATGGTATCCAGCACATGGAGGAGATCAAGTCCATTGGCAAGGTGTGGCCACCAGCTGTGAATCAGATCGAGGTTTGTCTATTCAATTCTGAAATGCTGTGAATGAGTAAGTGACTGATGCATCACAGCTCCACCCCTGGTGTCAACAGCGCGAATGCGTGGAGTACTGCAAGAAGAATAACATCGTCGTCGAAGCATACTGCCCGCTCGTCCGCAACGAGAAGGCGAAGGACGAGACTTTGACCAGTATATGCGAGAAGCACAATGTCGGACCTAATCAGGTACTCGTGCGATGGAGTCTGCAGAAGGGATTCGTGCCGTTGCCCAAGAGCGATACGCCGTCAAGGATCGTCAGTAACGCGGATGTGTATGGCTTTGAGCTCGATGAAGACGATATGGCTAAGCTGGACGGATTAGATCAGGGCAAGGCTGGTGCAATTGTGGAGGCTGTTAAGAATTAGAAGTGTTGTGTTGGGACTGCGTCGGGTAAGTATTTTTGGTAGGCGACATGGAATCAGTGGACACATGCCAGTCTATTTCTATGATACGTCTGTCTGCAGGCAACAGAAAAAGAAAAGAACAGAACTAATTGGAGATGTTTGAAGTCACGCTTCCAGCTGATAATAGCGTCGCTCGAATGGTGCATATATCACCGGAAAAATATCTTCAAGCACCAGCCCCACTTCGTCCCAGCGACTTTTTCTTGAACCCCGCCCTCCCACAACGTCCGTTTGAAAATTTTGACAGGTCTTGACACAACATATGAGCATAGTCCTCACAATTGATTCTTTTTGCACAGAATATATTGCCAACAATTTCGAAAAGTGTCACAAATCAGTACATTGATCGGTTTTGTAGTGTAGCGGTTATCACTCCGGATTCTGATCTTCAATGTCAGATGTAATTCTTACCCTTCCGGCAACCCCGGTTCGATTCCGGGCAAGACCTTCTGCTTTCTTTTTGCTGTTTTTGATGTCTACAGAGACTGAAAGGGCGTTTCTACGGTACGGACAGGTGCTAGTGGACGCTTTGTGACGCGGAGATCACTCGGGGGTCAATTTTTGCTCGGTAACCTGAGCCTGAGGCTATCTATCGTGTAGCCCGCTCACGGGCAAGCATGAATCATCACATCATGCATAGGTTGAACTGTAGAAGATTTGAGATTTGTCTATGGCTGCATGCGACGTGGCGGTGCGCTATCTATTAGCTCCTCATTATCTACACTCCACAACACAAGACACTGTTCAAGTGATATACATTTGAATTGAACAAAGTAAAGGCCGCAAGGCTGCGCAATGCATAGAGGCATGCCGCCTGGTATCATAAATCGACACCCAAACCAAAGAACAAGAACGTGCGCGAACGCTACAAGAATCGGTAGAAATAACATGAGCACTAGCATAAGAACTTGTAGACCTTCTTCCATCTTGGCCATCGTTTCCGCTCTTCTCGCTCCTCTTCTATCAGCTCCGCAATGTTGAGCTCTCGAATGCCCGTGTGCAGGTCCATGTTGTGAGACCTGACGATCTTGGTGCGGTAGTAGAGCTTGTACGGGATGTAGAAGGCTATTGTGACTGGCAGTGCGAGGTATATGCTGAAGAAGCGTTGCAGGCGCTCCGATGTGCTCATTGTTTTGTACTCAAACGGCGCCACTGCAACGTAAAACTGAGCGATAAGGACGAGAGTGTTGAAAACAACGCCAATCCATGAGCCGAACACACCGGGCTGGGACCTGAAGGCGAGCTCGGATAGGCTGTGGCCTTGCTTTTTCCATCCCTGGCGGAAGCGAATGTGCGCGAGACAAATGGACAGCCATGTGAAGACAGCGGAAAGGGCGGAGAGTGCAAGGAGCCAATTGAAAGCGTTCTCTTGCAGCTGACGATCGGCGCCAGCGAGGAAAGCGAGTAGACCCAGGGATGAGGCGAACCCGATGGAAACAAGGGGCCGACCCTGGCGATCGATGTAGGCAAAGATCCTGGGCGCCTGGTGTTGTTCTGCCAAAGCAGCGAGTGTGCGGGATGAACCGTAGATGGAGGAGTTACCGACAGAGAGCACGGCGATCATGATGACGGCATTGAAGACCGAAGGGAGTCCTTGGATGCCGGCATTTTGGATGGCGATAACGAAAGGAGATGCGACAATGTCGGCGTCGTTCTGCTCTTGCAAGAGGCGTTCGTCGTTGTACGGCACGATAAGACCAACGATGGTTAGTGACACAATGTAGAACAGCGAGATACGCCAGAAGACCTGCTTGACGGCGGTGGGTAGCGACTTTCGCGGGTTTGCCGTTTCAGCAGCGGCGAGTCCGACCAGTTCGGTTCCAGAGAAGGCAAAAGCTGCGTTGACAAACACGCTGCAGAGACCCTTGAAGCCATGATTGAAGGGCCCAGGGTCGCGCCAGAATTTGCCGCCAATGTAGCTTCCATCCGGTCCACCGCCGATGTTGATAATGATGCCCAGAATGATGAAGCCAATGACGGCGGCAATCTTGATAATGGCAAAGATGAATTCAGCTTCACCGTATCCTTTGACACCGAACAGGTTGATACCGACGATAAAGACCAGGAATATGGCGACCCAAGCATTGTTGTTGACCTTGGTATTATTCCAGTATTCAATCGTAAAGGTGGCAGCGACAATCTCCAGCGGTAGCACGACGAGCCATTGCAGAGCATAGTTCCAACCCATGGCAAAACCCCAAGCAGGATCCAGGAATCGAGTCGAGTAGGCCGAGAATGAACCAGCTACGGGAAACAGGACGGCCATCTCACCGAGAGCGTGTACAGTGCAGTACAACATGAGACCAACCATACAGTAGCAGATGACCAGCGCTGCAGGGCCACCGTTGGCTAGCGCTTGTCCAGAACCCACGAACAAACCAGTACCTGCAGATATTAGTACAGCACGCGAGCAGGACTGTTAGTAGGTCATACCGATGGAACCTCCAATAGCAATCATCTGCAAATGGCGGCCTTTTAGTTTCCGTGCGAGGGGTGATGTAGCCGTGTTCTGAGCAGCCGTTTCGACGTCGAAAACCTTGCCATCAGCGCCCAGAGTGCCTTTGGGGGTCATTTTGAAGTTTGGATCCCGCTTGAAGCTCTCGATGACTCTCCGGCCGATACCGTCGCGATGGACGGAGGATTCTCCATAGTAGTCCGAGGCCTGGGAGCCCCTCCCGAAGCTCTTCTCGGTGCCGTACATGTCGTCGTCAGAGGTCATGGTGAAGAGCGCAATAGCGCGGCGACACTGTGGTGTGGAGGTGCGAGGCAGCGATACAGCAGTGTGTCAGCTCGCACAGGCCGCAGGGCCAGACAGATAATAAGGTGCCTTTGTTGCTGACGTGCCGCCGGGGTGGTGGCCCAGGCGTATCTTAACCAGGGCCGTTCGAGCCAGGCGGTCGGGATGTGGTGGAATCAGCAGTAGCCTGCGCCTATCTGGGCTAGCAACTGTCAAAGAGGCGCTTCCGACGGGGGGTTTATTGGGGAAAATGCGCTATCAGCACGGGAGGCCCTCGAGTCGCCCCAGGTCTGCGAGAAGGGGTGAAGCCAGGAGCGCGCAACGTGTCGAAGGCACTGCGAAGGAGGATTGTGAATGAAGCCAGCAGCCACCTGTGACACGCCGTGGACAAGTGCCTCGGCCGTCAATTTGTCGCGCACGGCTCGGAGAGGATTGATGGCGAAAGTGGAGCCCCAACCGCACGAGTCACACCAATAATGCTCGGCCAGGGTTCACTATCTCCTTCGCTTCTGCTTGACGTCTCGAGTCCACCGTAGACTGGCCCCTACCAGACTTTGACATATGTCACATTCAATGTCACCGCGTTTGTTATCGCCCGAGTCTGTCTCCGCATTCTCAGAAACGAAATGAAGCATTCTGCGCATGAACATCATCCATCACCAGCTGCTGTTGTGCGTGTTTGGTGGCGTCCTCGAATCGAGACAGTGCATCAATGCGCACCAACACCAGGCCCTAACATCCCAGGTATGTCATCACGAGACACCTGTGCAGCCTGCGAAGGGCCCTTGTTTCGGCCTCCAGAATGATCGACTCTGCGGTTGCATTGCGCTCGGCTCCCGTAGGGATTCCACTGGTGAGGAACGACGGTATTCCTGTGCGCAATACCCCTCGGTCCACCAATATGACTACCCACTTTGGCTGTTGACGCATTCATACCATGTACCCCAGCATCTCTCACCACTCATGCGTGCTGGCTGCGCGACATGAATGGCTGGAACATCGTCAGCTCACTGTGCCGCAAACTCGACTCCTGGCGATAGCTCCATCATCTCTCGGTAAGACGGATGAACATCAATGCCTCTGAACGATCCACGGTTCCTCGCGTGGTTTTTGATTGCCCTCGACATACAACCGCTGTCTTCTGCAGGGGCCAGCCAGGTATCGCCCAATTTAGACTTCTTCTTTGCTTCCACGCGCACGCAGGTACAGGCAATTATGTGTCCCGCATTCACCCAGCCCTAGATATTGCATCCAGAATCTTCCGCGCGGCTCCAGATGAAAGGTTCTATTGACGAACTACGCCGCAATACACGCTCATTGCTTGCGGATGGCAGGACTCATCACCACGCTTCCCTGCCTTGCACGCTCACTGCATGAACACAGGTTCGCCCATTACGGCTCCGACCGCGTCTGTGCTACCACTACCATTTCCCGAATTAGTCGCACACAGCTCCACATGCTGAGACCTGTGGAGTTCTGTTCACCATACTACTCTAACCTTTGCACAGAGACACAACTATCATTTCACTCATCATACCAGATGCACACACGCGACAGATACAGCACGACTGATACGCGGCAATCTACACAGCTCCACTGATGCTGACGGAAGGACTCCCGGAGTGTCTGCGCGCCTTCCTCTAACGGCTTGGTGGTAAGCCACCGCCGAAGCCTCCCCCTCCACAGTCTCAACAGCAAACTGTCATTCGCAGACATCGACGCCTCGTCCGTTTCTTGCAACGGTGAGGTATTTTCGCCGTGAAGAGTGGCCATGTGCAAAGGCAGTACGTCACTATCGAATAGCAACCTTAACTGTACGAGGTTGCCTCCATCGTCGCCGCCACGGCCTTGCATAACTCATCATCACGGAGCGCGCCGACAAATGATTTGCATGTCAGACCCGTTTCAAACACCCCTCACACCTCGGCATTCCATCTTTCGAGACATTTAAAGAAGATCTCAGACATTCAAAATTCAAGTCATCGACCCCTCACAGCGAACGAAGTCTTTCATAGAAGACACTAACCCATCCATCCTTACCTTTAGCAATGCCAGATATACGCCCTTGCGCCGCGCGCAACCATTGCACGCACCACCTCGTCTCCAGACATGAAACGCCACCACTCCGGCACTTGGGCCGCCCCTTCACGTGTGAATCGCATGGAAGGCTGGATTAGCTTTTGCGCTGCGCTCGCGCAATGTCCAGGTCCCTTGTGAACTACGCCATGGTTGTTTGCTCAACACGGGTGCAACTACCTTTCTTGGCCATTTCACGCGAAACTGGAATGTCACTCGTCCGGCTTGTTGCCCCTAGCTGCCTTCGAGAAAATCAAAGAAAGATGGACACGCGACTCAGATATCCCGCCGCCGCGGCATCATCACATCTCGCATCATCAAACTGTCCCCTAGGTGGTAAGTGTGTCTGGTAGGTCTACTATCTCCCCCTCTCCCCTTCTGGAATCCCGGCCCCGAGCGAACGGACAAGTGATGTGCTTGCTGTGTGACTTTCGCTACACACACCGCCGCCTCCGGCCGCCATGATCTGCGCGATGTGCAAGCTTGTCTCCAGCTCCGAGTCCTGCAACGCAGCAGTGCCGTGTTCGGAAGAATTCCATGTCGTGCAACTGTCGCACACTTTTCGCTCGGTAGAGCTGTGGTGCTACGTCCGCTGCTGCACCTGCTTCCCCTTTTGACTCGGATGGCGTTGCGTA